ATTTGTTTAATGAAACTGCTACAACATATTATCTGGGACAATTGAAAGGATAATAGTTTTTCCTTAAATGCAATGAAATTTGTCTAGCATACATTCAAATATCAAAGTTATTATTTATTGACAAATATCCGTGCTTGAAGATCAAACTGGAACTAAGAGAAGGGTGGAAAAAGGAAATGATAGGATAAAATTGTTCCATGAAATATTTATCATAAACGGTCAGCAAATATTAATGTTCTATCCTCTTAAAAGTTATGTTTTAAAAAAACTATCCAAGTTTCCAAAAGTATACAATGAAAGAAAATTTTAGTGGTGCATTCACTTTGAAAAATAAATTCCTTTGAAAAAAAATTTCAATTAACCTTTCAGGAAAACGAAAACGCTGTCGATCAATGATAAATGTAAGAACAGTGAAAGCGGTAACACCAAGATTGACAGAAGCCCATAAAAGCATCCAAAATCGAGCAAATTCCTTTTTGGAAACATCAAACATCCCTTCACGATTACATTGGAAAACGCATAAACCACGACGATCAGTCGGGTCCAGGTTAACTAGATCATGTGGACAGGACGTCATCGTTTTAGAAAATATCCGTTCTTCCAGACTTGGCACTGGCTCTCGATGATCCGCATCAAACTGTCTAAAAATAACAAACTTTTTATGTTTTTTTCCAGCAGTAATATGAATTTGTTTCAAATCGAATCACTTACGAATTGCCGAAGTATGTCAGTGGATAGTATAAACCTAAATTGACAGCCAAGCCTATCAAGACTAGAAGTGGAAATGGACTAAAATCTCTAACTGATTATCAAGTTCAATAGAAATTAACATGATAATCGCTTTGAAGGTGCATTACTCGATATGATATGCAGCTGGTAAAGAAAAGGTATGAATCGAAAGCAGTCCAATAGCATAAAAAAGAAACATAGCAGACCAATAAATATTTGAAGATTTCCGAAATTGGCTGTTGGAAATTTTCCGACTTGAGAAAAAAGAATTATTAAATTATGGAAATAACATAACCATAATGTTGACGGAAGACCAAAAATTAGATTCATGGATAAGAGAAGAGTAACAACATAAAGCTTATTAATTCATATCTCCCTGACTGGGACCGAAAAATTCCGGTTAAAATTCCTAGTCTGAAATCGTATTGATGATCCATCACGATGTATCAGTGATAGGAATCGAGAGGAATCCCTTCCCAAAATCCGAATCGAAATCAGTGATAACACTGTAAAAAGGAAATACGTGCTAAATAGAGTAATTTATTAGTTATCAGTGATGGAAAAAGATAAATTTTGATGGAAGCTATAAAAACGATTTAAAAAGCGAAAAGGAAGATTTATACAGTGGCTTTCAGTCGGCCAGAGAATAACAATGAATAATCAACCGGTGAAGATTTGATGGCTAGTAACTGATCAGTTCGAAGTTTTAGTCGACTAAATGACTTCTTTTAAACAACGCCAAAACTACAAAATATCGGAATATTCCGGATCAAATGAACTTACTCTGGCCCCAGATAACTATTCTGGTCGTTGGTTGGTTTCATGCACAGATTCGGTGCTTCTGGAAATCGGCTGCAATTCAACGGTTCCGGCCAGTCAATTCCGAATTCCATTAAAATTGAAACGCAGTCCCGTTTAACCTAAAAGGATAAAAAATCAATTAAATTTGAAAATTAACCGAAAATTTATAGCAGAAATAAAAACTTGAAGATGCTGAAGAGTAATGAGTACAGCTGTTCCCAAGAACGCAAATATCTTCTGCATCGAAATACTTAAGTCAGTAGGGTCAAGAGGATAGTTAGCTTAAACTGACCCTACTAGACTCAATCCATCTTCTGATCAGGGCTAAATTAATTCAGTTACACTGTTTAGTCCAAATTGGCAAACGCCATTCTCGCTTCTTCCCTCTTGCTTTTTTGTTAAACTACATTCTATATCCTACATGGATAATAAAATGGAAATTATCAAATTCAAATTTTAAAGAGGTGAGAGGTTTGAAAGATCTTCAAAACAATTTCAAATATTTATTGTATCAAAACGCTGAGAATAACGGTTGTGGATTAGAAACCGATGGTAGACACGGAGTGCCAATATGACCTTCTCAACCCCCTCGAACTATTCAACCACCTGCTTGCTTATCCTGTCCCACCTGTTCCCTGGTTACTGTGTGCTTAAATTGATCAATTTGCAAACAAATCAAAAATATTTGAATAAAAAATGATCTGCAACAAAAAAGTTACGTGAAAAGCAATGGCTTATCGAATGAATTATTAGAGAAGAACTGGGATGAATGGTAGGCACAACAGTCTCTGACAACGAAATCATTGAAATATTGCGAATTACAAATTATAGTGGAATTTTGTAAATCCTAATGTCAAAGAGTTCGTGAAATTGTCATTTAATTCTTCAATTTATCACAAATTTTTTTGTGGTTTCACCACAAAAATTTAACAAAGTGTGAGATGATTAAGCCACGGAGATAGCTGCGCTTCCCATACAAAAATAGTTCCCCTTTTTGCGATCTGTTTCGATTCCTTTCTGAAACAGATGGAACCGACCATGTCATGCAGGTATGACGTCCGGCTATTTGGCCATCAGTAATCGGCAATCCTTACCCATGCACTAATTTCATCAAACGAAGAACTGAAATCCCTCACGTATTATTCCGTATCAATCTATGGGATAACGGTTGAAAACATTTCAACATGAGGGAGATGATGGGTTTCGTTTCACTGCCAGGGTAATGGTTTTATAGAAGGTTGTAAAATGGGCAATAAGATTGTCCCTATTGATTTTGGCGCGGTGATATCGCCCCTTTCACCCTCTGTCTTACTACTATTCGCACTAAAGGTCGACCTATTTGAAATAACGATCGATATTCCAACAATTTTCCCCTGTAAATATCTTAAATTGCAATTTCTGTTTTATTTTTAAATTTTGCTTTATTTTTTTGATAAAGGATGAAGTTTTAACTTCATCCAGAATTTCTCATTGAGTCTCTATTAGCAATACATGCTGGACGTGATCAGATTTGTCATGCCAAAATAATAATTTATCAACAGTTTAGCTCAAATCAATTCTTTGCTCCAAACTTTAAAATCAATCCAAAAGTAACATAAGAGCAAACATGCCTTAGTGTGGTTTGCGCTATTTTTCCTTTAAAATCTTTCAATTTCTCAGATCGAAAGTGTAATTCATTGAAGGCTTAGTTGGAAGAATTAATTCCCAGGTAGATCAGTAATTAAGATTAAACTAGTGCTCTTCACACTGTTTCAAAAATAAAATGCAAACTTCTTCGATAATTAATGTTTACCTTTCTTTGAAATACATAAAAGAGATTCATTCAGTTATGAATAAACTTCGATCGAATATTTAAATAACAGTTTATTTGTAAATTCAATCGCTTTACATCCCATATCCTTATCATCAGTATGGACCTTTCATAAATCTCAGTTCAAAACTTTTCGCAAATACTTGAAACTTTCTAAACTGTTCTCTTAGTACTCTTTCTCTCCTTCTCTATTGCAACAGATCCAACATTGATTTATTTTTTTTGGATTCAAAGAAAAAAAAGAAGCATTCGATCATAAGAAATGAAGGAAGACCAAAGGGGAGAAGTTTTGGTGAAATAAATAAAATGATTTTGAGGCACTTTGATGTGATCCGATGACAAGGAAGGAAAAAAAAAAGAAGGGGAAAAGATACGATGGATTGCTGCTACTTCCAATGCCATTAACTCAAAATTTATTAGAAAAGAAGGCTGTTTTTGTAGGAAAAGTGCAGTTTGAAACGAAACTAAAAACTGACAAAAATGGGACAAGAAAGAAGTATTGAATTGGCCAAATGATGCTAATTTACAAGTAATTATTTCAAAATATTTCACAAAAATGATTAGAATGAAAGGCTAGAAATGTGACAAGTTTTAACCTTAACCATTTCTTCATAACAATCAGTTTATGATTAAACCCTCATCATCCATACATTAGTAAACAAAAATGAATGTTATGTTATCGCCATTGCTATAAAGTGCACATCAATTATCAAAACATCCACCAAAATATATTTCAATAGATAGAAGCTTATGCTGCATTGGAGAAGTCAAATTTCCTCCATAATATATAGGTTATATCAAAGATTTTTAAATCAAGAAAATTTTCCTTTGTTAATTCCATATTGGGAAAAAATGAATGTTTAATGCCATGATGATAAATGATACAAACAGGTATTAATGGGATACATTCCCTGAACGAAATGAAAAATGTTTTTTAAGGCATGGTTTGAAGAGAAAGTAAAAAATTATAACTTCTTTTTAAAAAATATGAAAATTTGAAAGAATATTTAACACCGAGATTCCTTAAACAAAAAATAGATCTACTTTAATTTACTTGTTATATTACGGTTATCTGATGCAGTAACAAGCAGAGTCTTGTAACAACTCAGACATAAAGGTGCTATGCAGGTAAGATTGTTATTTAAACTTACTTTTAAAAAGTAAGGCTGAAGTCGAGAAATTTAAAATTATAAAGTAATGATATTGCTTATAATTAATTGGTGGGTTCGTAACTTTGTTTATGAGAAGTTACTAATTAATACCTCTTCGCATACAGACCGACAGCTGGTTACCGCTTGAGGCATATGTTCCGGACACATTGGTGCAAATACGCTACATATGAAAAATTTGATGTGCGGATTGCAATTCGTTTTAATCAACGGTTTAAAATGCTCCGTTTGGGTTTGTAGCTAAAATGCCAAGACGAAATACCGTGAATATTTCATGATTAGATTAGTGAAAAAAACTTTTTTCATTATAATGCTTATGGGAAATTGAAATATGTTTAGGAATGATTCAAATTAGATTAGATCATTAATGTCTTTATTGTTACTTGTCTTGTCGGCATTTCTAAGCAAAACAGAATCATAAAGGGAACTTGAAGATTTGAATATTAAATTCGTTTTCTGGTATTTCTAATAAGCAATAAACTTGAAGAACATTATGGAACTTTAAAAAACGTTTTCCGGGGAAAACCAACACTTTGTTGATCAGGCTGTAGCAACGAATTCGGGAAATAAGTATATTTGTATGGAATATCTTTACATAACGGAATTTCGATAGGCTCACAGCGGCTTCGACTGGCCTGAAATTTGAAATGCTAAAAGCAGTTGTAAAATTGAAGGTTGTTGGCGGTTGAATTTGAATCTTAGAATAGTAAAGAAAGTAACTTTTCCATCTATTCCTCTTACAAATCCATAAATTTCAAAACCTGTTCAAAAATCGACGCTGTGACTTGTTTAGCACATAGCAAAAGTAATGATAATAATAATAATAATAATGAGGCAAGTATGGAATTATGACAGAATGACTGATTTGCTGTGGTTCGCAGTAACATCGACTGGCCGTTCAATCAGGCACTTCTTCACCGTATAATATCGAAATTACCCTCCGAGTTACTCGTTATAGTCTGAAATCTAGAAAGGTATTACTTGAAATATGCAAATTATTTCAAATTCCACATGAACGAATGAATGAAATAACACAAATATTCAATGAAGAGTGAGAAAATTTGCGGGAATTTTTCCTTTTGAGGGAGGGAGAATTTTTTGACAGAATAACCGTTAAATACGTATTGACGTAATCAATTCAGCATAATTTCATTTATGATAAGCAATAATTCTTGGCTCACTGCTTGCAGCCTACCTTGGCAATACTCCTTGGCTCACTCTTAGCAGTCCACCTTGCTACGTAAACTCAACGAGAGTGAGTGATTAAGGATGATTAATTCAATTTATGGTTGATTATTTTATTAATTACTTTTGAAGTAAATGAAAAATTCATCATTGCAAAGAATAAAATACAAAGGAAGAAGAGGAGAGAGAGAGGGAGGGGGAGGAACAGAGAGAGAAGGAGCAACTAAATATCTAAACTTTCCTGAAAAGGCACTCGAAGAATTCGCTTAATTTAGATAAAAAAAAATGAACGTAATTGAGGAAGAGGATGGAAGAGATAAAAAAAATGAAAGATAATGCGAAAAGTTACTATATGTAAAGATATAGGGAAGCATTAAGGAGTGAGAAGAAATTAATTACCCAACTTATTAAAATAAAACCCGAAATAACTCCTGATAGTTCCCATTGGCATTAAGAAAATCTCAAAATCTTCATATCTTAACTAAGCCAAATGAATTTGAATCATATCCAAGCCTAATCAATATAAAGTGGAACGTAGATGGCAATATCAACACACCATTCTACTGAATGATACTACCACATCCATCTGTTACATCAGTACAATTATTGGTAGGTAAGTAAATAGACGGTATCTCACAGATATTATAATAATTAAAACGGTAACTTGTTGGATAGATGGGTAGAGAGATAAGACAAAAGAACAGGTAGATGAGGAGATGAATAGGTAGAAATTGGGACCGGTAGTATACTGTACTATTCCAGGAATTATTCATTTAAGTTAAAGGATTATAAATTGAAGCGAGCGAGTAAGAGAAGCCTCTGAACCTTGCTGAACGTTGCGACAGTGCTCAACGCTCGATTCCCAATCATCGCCGCCACACCATCGACGGCGTAAGCAATCCTTCCACTCCGCCCCTAAAATCTTCCGCTCCTCTGTTCGCGTATGTGTGTGTATGTCTCTTCACGTATATGTATATATATGTATGTGTGTATGTGTGTATGTATGTTGTATGTGTGTGTATGTGTGTGTATGTATGTGTGTGTGTGCTTACCCTTGCCTGAAGTATTCCCACTTATATGGCCAATATTTTATATCTGAAAGCAAAATTTATTACCCAGAGTAAGCAACAGACGGTGTACATCGCTTGGTGTCATTTCAATCTTTGGGTCCATCTCTCTCCCCTTACTCTTTTTACCTCATTTATTCTGATACGTTATCAGTATGTTACCGAAGTTATCACCACCAGATGGAATAGACTAAGCAGAGAATTAGAAGGGTATCGGGAATGAATTGCTTTGATAAGAATTCATAGCACTAATTGGAAGCGATTATCACTGATAGATAGCTGGTCATTTATCCCATTTAAAAACAATGACTGGAGAACAGTGATTTGATTTGGATATCTGTTGAATATTGTTCCTCTCATTTCGCGGGATTAAAGATAATTATTTTTCCGGTAAAGAAATACAAATTCGTTTTTACGGTTCTCAACAATTTAGTTTGTATTTCATCGAAGGAGCGGAAAAATGATGATGCAATCTGCCGTAAAAAAAAAAAAGAAAAAAACAAACTGTTAATACCACCCGCTGAGAAAACTATTTTTTACCGAACATGAGATCGGACAGACCGGGTCTCACACATTGTCACATCTTCCAACAGCGGTTAATTGAAGAGCTAGAACATGCACAGATTCCCATAAATACAAAACTTAAAATATTAAAGAATTAGATAAAGGTTGTTATCAGTGTCACAGTGACCTAATATCAAAAAATAAAAACACTGCAACATACCGGCAAGCTCCCCCGAAATCAGTAAATTTATACGTAATAGGAAAGAAGAAAAGATAAAGTGAAAATTAGCATAATAATTGTCAAAATTAGTCACAACTCAATTGAAATTGTTCATTCAGAGGGAAGAATTCATCCGATCCTTTCCCTCCTTCACATCTTCGCCTTTCTTTCCTTCTGATAATGATGCTCTGTTGCTGTATAAAATTATCAGTTGAAATAGGGACAAACGGCGCGGCAATCCTTTTCGCTAACAGTTTTATCACACCTTTTTTTTTTTTTCTAGCCTTGCCTTCTATTGTCCATTGCAATAGATATTGTAAGAATTCGTTAATATAGACAGGACAGATACCTGATACAGCACACAGTTATGCAAATCTTTCAATTTCATTTTTTCTTGAAATAGATCAGAAGGGTATGTCTATTGCTAAGTTCTTTTCACAGTCATTTAGAAAGTACTGTCTCGTGAAGTAAGAAGAGGTGACGAACGATTGCTTCTAAATCGTAACAAGTTAAAGTGAGCGTTTTAGTAAAAGACTTTTAAAGAGAGGAGCATGAAAGATAACCGCCCACTTGCGGCTTGCTCATCTTCCGGACATGTCGTCTTTGTCCTCTCACAAAGCTTCATTTATTTGTGATTGAATTTCATTTTCACCTTTATTTATTCCTAAGAAGAAAAACAGACAGAAAGACCGAGGGAAATGGTTTCATTGCAGGAAATAAATCAATACAATCTAATTGAGTTCAGTTAATCAGCAAGGTTGAATGTGATGACATTTATCACTCTTTCTAATATCATGCTATCATTCAACCCCTCCTATCATCATAGCTTTCTTTCGTCACTGATTGCATTCCTCTATGTAACTACAAACAACAATTTTGTTTCCTTCAAAAGAATGAAACAATTTTTAGGGATGGAAGGGAGTGAAATCGATATGATCACGAAGATGAAAGAAAGATTCTGTCCCCACTTTTTCATCACTCTTAAAAGCGGTGCTTTTTAAAGATAGTCGAAATTTTACCTGAGGATCTTTTTCAATCATGATGAGTTATATGACTCATCCCTCCAACATTTAACCTTAATTCCCTCTTCCCATCCACATCTTCATTCTCAATTTTCAAATTTTTTATGAAAGATTTGCTATCTTTCCTTCAATCAATTTATGCAATAAAAACGCCGAATTTTACCAAAGTTGGATACGGAAGTGTAAAAGAAGCCAATAACGTTGCTTGGCTCATCTGCCATGTAAACATAAATACCAGTATATTGTATATGTTGCCTTAAGTCATCAGATATATGAATGAAAGCGATTTGTGCTTTTTTTGACAATACCAAAAAATGAGGGAAGAGATTTTTTTTCTCGGTTTCAATTCAAGAAGAAGAAAAAGGAATTATTAATGGTACTTTTCGGATCGGATCAATCAATTTAATACCATTAATTATTCGGCCTCTTGAAATAAATTAACTACTTCTTCACTTTCTACCATACTTCAACTTTTCGCTTCTCTCTAAAAAACACTTCCTAAATTACTGTAAACATGTAGAAAAACAACACTGTTACATAACTGCTATAATTCTTTGACATTTGTTTGAACAGGTTTACCAGATTGACAGAGATATTAAAATATGTTAAATAATCGTAACATACTCAAAATGTGTCATCCCTTAGTGAATAATACACGTGATAAATGCTGTTGTAACGATGGATAGAATTTCAGAACAACTACAAATTTCTTTTTCTGGACTTTTTTTTTCCGAAAATTGTTGGCGACACATTTTGACTTGAATTAAATCGCGTAGAAGTCATTAGCTAATGGAATCATAATTTCAATCAGCCAATTTTGAAAATTAAATTGCACATTTTTACAGTTTAATTTGTAGAGTGAAAAACTGTTTGCAATTCGAAGTGGAAATATGGCCTTGGAAGATGTTTAGATTCATCCCAATAGTCTTAATTTCGTATGATCCAGAATTCTAAACAGAAAACAATTTAATTTTCGGTCTTATGATCGTTTTTGTCTCCCAATAATCTCTTGTTTTGGTCCTATAATTTCTAAAGCCTAAATTTTGTACTCTATTAGTTCAGTACCTTCAAAAAATGGTAAACTATCTTAATTTATAAAGTGCTTCTCATTCTTCATTCATGTAATTTCCAATGAAAATTACTGAATTCAAACTCAAAATTTTAAAATTTTTGGAAGGATAGTTTGGTATTAGTGATCAGACATTATCTTGTTTAATCTGCGATCTTGAGCTAATGTGATGCCGGATAAGATCAGTGAAATATGCTTCTCACTTCAAAGAAATGTTTTCATTCTGGATAATTCTTCATGCTTAGCCAAGGAACACTAAGGGTATAAATGACATAAATCTTCTCCACTAACGCGATCTCAGCTCCTATAAATTATAATTTCCGAGCGAGGATCTACCATTCCTAACAACCCCGTCAGTCACCCTACAACCATTTAATCTCCTGATCGAATCTAAACCTTCTGATTCACCAACAACTATACATATTTTTCTGAAATTTCATTCAAAGCAAAAAAATTCAAGGGATTAAACAAAAGGAGAAAATTGCTTTCCCTCGCTGTTTAATCACTGATACGATCTTTGTCTACAAATATTCTGATTACCAGGATTCTTACTTTTATCTCTCGATGAATTTTTCGTGTAATTTTGGATTTTTAAGAAGCTATCAAATGCTAAAGCTTTGAGTCTCCCTAAAACAAGAAAAATATGAAAGCATAAAAAATCACATAATTTTATTTAGATACATCGTAACTGAAGTGTTTTGTGGATGCTTCAAAACATTCTACGAAGTTATATTGAAGGGAAGCACTGTTTAGAATTATGGCCAAATGTTTAGAAGCTATAAAAATGTTGCGGAAAATGAAGAGAAAGCTTCAAATTCAACATATTCCTGATTATCTTTTGAATTTAATTTATCGGCTTAAGTATCTTTAAATTTTATTTCTTTTTGAATAAAATTAAAAATTCACTGTTATCCATATAACGATTGACATATTTCTTTTTAGGATTAGATTATCTCAAAAATTTCAGATTTTTAAAATAAAACAGTGTTTTTATAGTTGATTGTCACAACAGTAATATATGTAAGGATTTTGCTCTTTCTTCCGATACTGATAAAATTTTCCATCTTACCTGCCAACATGTATCGTCAACTACTGATTTGATCTTTACATTATAATTACCCCGACTTTGAAACCACAATTAATTCATCAAATTGAAATATATTTTAAATATTATAAACAGATGGATTATGTTTTCAATCATTTTTATGACGGAAAGGACGTCTAACTGTCATATATTGCAAATAACTTTCCCCACTATTCGTCACTCTAAATTGTTGGAGTTTTTTTTTTTTTTTTTGTAAAGCTTGTATTCAGAATTCAGACAAAGATGAGAGTGAGCAAAGCCGACAAGTGATGACGGTAATTAGAGAAGCACTAATTAATGATCGTAATGGAATAAGAATTCTAAGAAACATGCATATATGATATAAATGTAATGGTCAACACCATGGACTTAACTGTAGAAGAGGAACAGAGATCATATGGAAATTCCCGAATCACCAACAATCGCCATCTCCAATGAAATTCGCTTGATTAGCAATGGGTTCCTTTGTCTCCTCTTATTTCACACACAACAATTCGATCTTTACAGACAAACATTTCGTATCTTTTGATCCACTCAAATTTCCTTGATAACAAGAATCAGATTAACGGTTCAATAAGTATCACTTAGTAGAAGTAGGATGTGAAGGATACATTCTCCAAGGAACTGGGAAGGTTAAAGGTCAAAGGGTAGAACTCTGATTATATGAAGAATTCTTTTGCAAGGAACATTCATATTTATGTTATATTAAGTCTTTTTTCCCTTTATTTTTTCTTGAATTTGATTAAAAAGTCGTCGCTTCCAAGGTAATGTACGTTGATATTTATTAATTATAGACACATTGCTAAATAGAAGAGCCTTATTTTGTGAGAGTTAATTGAATTGACCAATTGAGAGAGCTTTTTTCGAAGATTCATAGGGGTTAAGGAGAAATATGTGCGAGGGTTCAATTTCCCATCCTAATGATTAATTATCGTCTCTTGGATCCTGCTTTGTCTACCCTTCTACATTGCTACTAGGGGGGCAACGGGGCAAATATATCAGGCAGGTGTCGATTCAAACTCGAATGCTTGCTTGCCATGGGAGAATCTTTTTAGGCAGTATAGTCACACAAGGAAACTCAACAATTTCTCGCCATTACTCCTCCAAACTTCTTCAAAAACTAAACTATTTTTCTAGGTTTTCTATCTTCCAACAACCCCACATAATGTCATTGGGACATTATTTACTCTTACACCTTACCCTAACCTTCCTTCATTTCATCTTCAATAGTTCTCTCTTTGATCTTGCCGTCCATATCAACGATATTTAAGTATGTATTAATTGAATAACGCTCACTTTACTGTCCCGCAACAGCAAAAATTACAATATCTGGATCATCGAACATCACGAAGAATAGTAATCCGATAATCATAGAAGTCTCATGAAACCTGAAAACTGAAATCTGCAAGCCTAAATTCCTTTTTTTTATTTCTTTCTTCCCCCTCCCCCTCCATATAATCCAAACAGGAAAACAGAACTGTACAAGAGATGGGTAAACAGTACTAAAGCAATAAATATCCCAACAAATATAAGTAAGCCAAAAAGGCATTATTTGGAGACAAGTATGTTTCATTTGTTTGGAAAGACAATATTCTTTTAACCGATAACTTAGCATTATTCGCTTAATGAGTGAAGTAATCAAGATTAAGTACGATAATGTCACATTAATCTCCTATGGCTGTCAATTTCTTGTATTGTAATTAAAGAAATTGCATTATTGATGAAAAGAAATATCCCTCTTCAATCTGATAAATATATTTTCATCATTTCTTCATAAATCCTGTCATTTTCAAATGAAAATTCTTAGAAGCGACAAATCTATGATTTAGAAGTGTCATTATTTTGGAAGTCTTTTGAGAAGAACAATATCTGAAGGATCATTACACAATATACCTGAAGAAAGGAATCAAAAGGAAAGCACAATAATCATGAAGTGATTAAAATCACATGATGATGTACTTGAATTTTCAATAAAACAATTCACTAGGATACGAATATTCCACTAAAAATGTAAGAGAAAGATTGGAAAGAAGTTTTCTTCGATAATTAGTTCGGATTAATAGTTGAGTAAAATGAAAGTGAAGTGACCCGAGAAAAAGCGAGGGCAAATAACCTTACATCTGCAATACATTACAGGAAACAGCTGTTCTACCTTATGTTTCCTCTTTCGGTAATTAATGAACATTATGGTTCGCCACCCTATGCCATCCGCAATATAAGCTCAAAAGATCCGACTTAAATGAAGTTCATCGAGCTTCATCAAATTAAACTCCAATTTAAACTTTTTTTCATTTTTTAAACTCTAATTTAAGTTTTTAATTCAATTTAAATTTGAATCGCCAAAAATGACTCGAAATTCAATCGAGTTTTATAAAATTTAGCTTTACCTAAGCTAACTCTACTCGATTTGTAAAAGTTTCATTTTTCTGCGAAATGTACTATTTGTTGAAGATGAATGCAAAAAAAAGAAAAAATCTGTTGTTACTTTTTCGAAGCATATGGAATGGAAACTGCTTATTAAGATCGTTAATGATACTCTTTGAAAGTATATCATAGCAAAGCATTCAATATGTATTTAACGATGTTCAAAAGATTTTACGGCACATGTAGCCTCAACTCCTATCTCTATGTTGATGTGAGGTGAATATATTTTTCAAGCTTAAACAAAATTAACTGATGATGAATCAACTCGCAGTTCGAAATAGATGCTAAGCAAGTTGGAATTCAGTGGTTCTAATCAGTTGAATTCGGAGACATTGTGGTAAGTGTAAATGAGTGATAGCAATGAAATAAACTAACCAAAGAGCTACTGTATTTTTATGAGCTATTTAATATTGAAACCAAACAACACTTTTGTTAGGGCAATTCATTATGCAAAATATTCTTCTATGGTACTATTTCAATAAAATTAAAACGAAATTTAGCGTTTTAGTAAGCCAACAAATCTTATAAGCCAACCGATGGATTTCTTCATCCCAACTACTTCAACCTTTTCTCATTTTATCCATTCTCTCCCTATCGATTTTTTGTCGCCAATCTAATTACGCTACACAATGCTTTCTTGAAATTCAATCGGTCCAGAACGAAAAAGAAATTGGAACCCTTTTAAAGCTATGCTTGAATACAATTCTTTAGTAGGGAATGAAACAAACTGGGACCAATCAAATCATTACAACTTCAAAAATGGGTTTTCCAAAAAAAAGCTGCAAAAAGAATTAAAGAAATAATGGATGGATCGTTGAACAACCATCCTGTTTTTCCATTCACATTGTACCATTCATCGTCATCCTCCTTTACCATTTCCACCATTAAATTGTGTATTTTAATCACTGACGTGTCAATGTTTACTCGTCTCATAAAATAAAATTGTTTATTAAAGAAGGAGACGTCTTCTCTTAAACAGTTTGTTTGAAGAATTCTCAATGGTACCAATAACGTCAATTCTGTTGTTGACGATGTCCAGACCTAAAAGATCTTGATTCAACTCTCAGAAAAGTTTCTTCGTTACTTAAACACACCAGTCATCCAAATTTTGTAAAAGACGATCCTTAACGGAAAATGTATAATAGCCAAATCTCGCCAACACCTTGTAATCTCAAAAAAAAAAAAAAAAATTCTCACAAAATATAGCGCACCATGTAAATGCAGCAGAACTAAAATGACGTTTTTGTTTAGGTTTGTTATGGCAAACAACGGGAAATTCCCAACAAGATGTTTTCAAATGGGTAGAATTATAAAACGATTTCATATATTTTATTGCTTTCCAAGTTCTAACATAAAGAGAACATATTATCATAATAAAACATTGACATAAATATGACTGATCTGGTTAATTTTAATAGAAATTGAATTTTAGACATCGCAATAACATTAAAATACAGATAAATTATAAATAGTGGTAAAGATTTCCATAAAAACTCCTTTTTGGTAATTTGACAATTCGTAATTGCGGTTGACAAAATAAAATAACTGATTATCACAGGACTTTGCTCAAAAACAGATCAGTATACCTGTAAAACGAAAATTTCTTCAAAACAAAGAAACTTCCAAAACGAGTCATCAAAAAAAAGGTTGGGATTTCTAATGGAAGGTTTGCTAAAAATCTAATTTTAAAAACTTGCTAAATGCTGTTTTGATATGATATATCAGATCACGAAACAAATGCTAAAGGTTGAATCTTGTCAATCATCGATAATGCAGCAATCGTCATCACTATTAACTATTACTCCATCCAATTCCATATCTTCCTTTTGATTTTCCGACGGGTTTTTCATACTCACTGAATTTGCTTCCATGTTTTCGATACCATCGTTAACAACTCCTTCTAAGGCCGCCTTTCCGTCATTTTCGATGTTTTCAATATCTTCGTTTATAATTCCATCTAAGGTCACTCTTTCGTCATCTTCGATTATACAACAATCGCTATCTTCACTTCTCTCACACCGTTCATGTGTCTGTTCTTCGACAATGCAGCAGCTGTCATCAGACACGTTATTTTCATTCGCCATATCTTCATTAGCCTATAGAATCAAAAGATAATAGAAATCCTGAAACAAATTAAATGTGCTTCAAGAAGAATGGGTTGAATCAAGTTACAGAAAATGACAAATGCATATCGCCGATGCAATTAAATGTGACAGCAATGATTTCACTTAAGGCTTTATGTTTCATGAGATTCATTGCCATTCTTCTTCCATCACAGTTACAAAAACAGAACATTGTGACACCTCGTCCGAATCATGTCACAAATCGCTTGAATCGCTGTATATATCACCAAGTTTTGAAACAGCAATTACATTTATACAAATACCGAGATTTTCTGAATTTAATGCGCTATTTAATTCCGAATTCAAGAAACTGATACACTGTCTTGAGCATCATCCTCGCATGCCTCTCCATCTTCTTCTTCCTCATCAACAGTCGGTGACATTTCGGTATCAACTATATCACCACTGTTTTCTGGTTCCGGACAGTCTAATTCACCTCGACTACATGCCTCATGCAATTCCTGTAAAGCATAAGCTTTGTTCCGAACACTTTCTAACAGTAAGTAAAATCACTACATGACAATCTTTACAAATTACTGGCCACTTATTTGACTTATACTGTTTCATTTTCATGACTTTCTCGTAGAAGAATCGTCATTGCAAATGCAGAAGAAATTTCTAATACTACAGAATATAACTCAAAACGTAATGAAATGTGATATGAGGATTAGCACTTTAAGCTCAATGGCTCAGGACGTGGATGCAGCCATTTAATTACAACTATTTTTCATATCACATGGATAATACCTCCATTCACCATCAACTTTCCCATTTATTGGCTTTTTTTTCAAAAGATTACCATATTAGCAATATCCCAGGTTGGAACACTCAACGCATATTCTTCTTTGCCTTCTGTATCAGCTGATGTAGATGGCGATTTTCCGCATTCGCTTTCGTGATCTAAAAAAGATGTCAGTAATAAAATCCAACAAAGAATAAATGCGACATGGATATAGAACTGCCGAATCAATCCTAATGCAGTTAACAATGTAAGGCAGGTAAGCGAATGTTATGATAAGAGGAAGATGCAAGCTATAAGGCTGAATTAAAATATTAGTTATACCTGAAATCGTCCAGTCAACAAGACCTATCCGATGATTATCTTCAATAAATCGCTTCACCAATTTATTTACTTCGCATGCAATATTTTGAATCAATTGATCTAGAAATGAACGGCTGCAAACAACAAATCATGATTCCAAAATTACAACAAATTAATACACTCTTGATTGTTTACAATTGTGATAATTCCGAATACTCACCGAATTCTAAAGGGTCATCTCGAAAAAGCTGTGTGTTTGTTCCTTTCAGTTTGTCTACCAACATCTTCACATCGTTTACAGTAACATGCCTGAGAATTTCAAATGAATTAAAACAGAACAAATTATACTATATACTTTCCAAAAAAAACTTCAAGCAAACAATGATCTAATCTTAACTCACTTGTAAGGTACTCGTATTTTACAGCCCAGAACTTCAGAATCAGTTTCTTGGTTAACATATTCAGTCAAAAGGATGTTCAAGTCTTCAACACCGGTCGAAGTTATTATCAGTTTTGGCTTCACGTCAGGAAGACTATAAAATAATATTCCTCAAAACGACATAAATGTTATGATGTACAAACAGGAAATCTGTGCAAACTTATAAAATATTGGAAATAGCAAGTGCTCCATGTCATACGACATAAAACATATTCTTGGAAATGCTTTTTGTTGGTATAAAAAAATATTTCTTCTAATAAGTGAGAGTCAAAGTATGATATTATATGGATCTAGTATATTCGAAAAGTTGCAGTAGCTTTGAAAGATCTATGTGAATTTCTGTAGAAATATAACAGACAAGAAAAGCAAGACTCACATGGTCTCGCCTGTATCATTAACGAAAATCCCTTTTCGAACCAAATATTTATGAATTCGTAAATGTTTTTGCGTAAGTTTCAGCAGACGTCTGTTGCAATTCTCTTCAAATTGTTCATCGTAATCTTCACCAAATGATATTTCTCGTTTCTCCAATTTCGTTATCGCCACTCTCAATTGCTGTAATAACATTAACATCTCAACAAGAAATGCAAGAGGAAGTAATCATCCCCTATGTGAAAAATTAAGAGACAAATTTGTACGAGACATTAAAAAGAGAACATAAAAAAGCATCGCGAAAAAGTGCATCACGTCATTTTCTTTAATCTATCTGTTGGTTAAAACCATTTGTGTCTCATATGACTTTAGAAGATCAAAATTCCAAAAATCCAGTCCTGTTTTATGCTGTTCGGAAACAGGTACATTTTCAAAACAATTAAAAGGCAGATATAGTGGGCAATTGTCCCGCGTTTCTTTGAAATCATCAAGGAAGAAGCAAAAATGTAAAAGTTGTTCTAACCACAAGGATAATGTTAGCATACGTGCTACAGTGACATACCTTATACAGCTTAACCAACTTATCAGTTTTGGAAATGCTCTTGTTAAATGCTGCTTTATTCATCTTTCTGCTGGAGGGCTGGCTTAGCTTGACTGAATTGATTGCTTTTTCCATATCCTATTTCAAAATCGATAATATTCGAACACACTGAACAAAAGTGACACAAGAATGAGAATTCATGAAAAATTCACCATATAAGCCACCTCAAAAGACATCCGACATCTACTAGTGATGAACTTATCATCTTTCTCTTACCAAATTTCCAGCTTTTTCCAAAATGTCAAAGGATAAAATGAATATTTAAAAGACATAATCATATCACAAAGAGATGACCCAAGAGAATTGCTGCAAACTGTGATAATAAATAACATTTGCAAAAGGATTAGTCGAGTTTAAGAAAGATCAAAACATGTTTCGGAGAATCCCTTGCCTGCCTAAAATTAAACCCTTCAAAGCATCAGCCTTTCGGGACAAAAATTCCATACTGCAAGTCCTCCAATATGCTGTAAGGAAAGAAAATAAACAAAGTACAACTACACACTATACCAAAAATCACCCATCTCGTAAAGAATAATTCCATCCCACCGCAGAATCTTACTTCAATCTCTTCACCAGTATGTCTTCATGTTCGCGCATCTCCGTTGCATGCAACGAATGATGAAATGTTATGAGTCACTGCACATCCCAGATGTAAAAGAGTTCAGAAGTTAGGCATTGTTCTAACAGGAAAGTACAACTGATAGAATTTCCAGTGCTTTTAATCTAACACTCTAGACATCACGAACATTACACATTAGCAAGACGCATATGCCTACTGTTCCACAGGGATTACCTGTTTACGTGATGTAATTTTCACAGAACATTATTGGACATTCTCGACATAATATGCATTTTCGCTTTTATTATTGCTTTATTTTATTTTTCTTCGTTTCAGTTCTATCATTTATATCCGACAGTATCTTACAGCCATCACTGCGAAACGTTCAATTACAAAAATAACTTAGTGACTTTTGTTGCAATTTCTGTCGCTATTGATTTTTGGGAAAGTCTTTTCATGTATTTCCCTACCATTCAATTGTTTCCGATTTTTCTGATTTACTATGAACTATTCAAAATGAAGGGTTCTGTGAGTTTTGTTCTTCCATCGATCTCCTTAAAAGCAAATCCCACAATTTGCGAATTTATTTATCATATTTCTGATATCTTCTGGATGACAGTAAACAAGAAGAGCCTGTTGATGTTTTTATAGATCAGAAGCTTTGAGTAACAGAGTAACAATTGCCGTTTTTAAATGAATCCTCGGCATACATTCCAATCATTGATGATGGCAACCATTCAAAACTCTTCATTTACCTAATTAGACAAACAAGGAAAATTTATGACATCATTTCATTGTCGCTCATATATTCTTATATCATTAAGTCCCACTTTCAGGCTATAATGTTTTGGATTTGAAATTCCAATATTTCTATCCTGTTCTAGCAGGAGTTTTTTCAACCTGATTTTAAATTATTCTGTGGGATTTTATTCTTGATGACTTTTGAATTTTTACAGAATATATTCTTTAAAATTTGGAAAAAGCTCTTATTTTCGTTCAGGGAATGTTGATAGACAAGTTCTCCTTTGGTTCAGCCATTTTTCTCAATAGTAAATGGGAATTCAAGTATTCTTTCAGGACGGCAATAGCATTTTATTGCAAAATATTTTCAAATTCATTTAGAAACTCTGATTTAGAATATTTCAAACAAATTCAAAAGAGGGAATTAATGAGGCAGAATTGAATGAAACGAGAGAATAGGAGGAGAACTTTTTTCATTCGGTGATTTAATCGATGGTTGATTTAATGATGGAGTTTCTTTCAAAATGTACAATACAATTTGCAATGGCACATTTCTGCACATTTTAATGCATTCTCAAACATTTTGTTTACTCTTCAAATTGTAACTATTCACACTGGAAATTTCGTTTGTTTTCTTTTTACCAGTTGGCATGGGTATCGAAATCCTGAACTTTTCCTCTTCGTACTCAAACATAGTCAACTTTTGCGCTTTTGCAGTGCACTGAATGATTGAACGATTCTGGTCGAACATATGAAGATGCAGTTTGCTGTTTTCACCCTTAGGCTTTGCTCCTTCATAGATAGCTTATCTGAAGGAACAAATCCAAGGTTTGCCAATTGCTCCTAGGTATCAGATCAAACTGTTTGACATGAAGCATGATTTGTATGCAAGTACCTATGTTTGATTCAACACAGTTTCTTTCTAAAATCAATACTTCCCATTTGAACTAAAAGTTTATTGTTTTTTAGCTTGATTTGTTTGTCATCGAAACTGTCAAATATATTGTTCAAATCCTGCTATGGATTTCTTTTCATTTTCACGGCTTCTTTCGTTAATATCGTTAAGTTTAATGAACTTAAAAGTTCACCTTTTGAAGTTATCAAGTTACGCGCTTTTCGTAAAAAGTATAAAAAAATTACAAAGTCTTCACAGAGATATTATCCACCAAACTGATTGGCATTCCATTCGTTGACATTCTCATCTTTTATCAAACATAATGGAACCGCAAACTTTCCCTCTTTCAAAGATATGTTTCAAATTAGAATTAGCAATTAAACTGATCAAATTTACGCCTATTAATTTTACAAATTTACGCCTATCCATTGCATGCCTGTGACAAAATTTAGCATAAGCGAATTACGACGCAACACATCATCCACTTCACTTCAAGCAAATATTCACCGATTGACGGGAGGAGTTAAATCGGTTTTCATTCAGTGTTCGAAGTTCTTTACCGTATAAATCGATTAACGTACATTCCTGATGCTAACAGCTAGCTAGCTGCACCTTCGATCATCACAGATCGGGTCTGTGCAACATTCTATTCTGCATTGAAATACAAGTCACTTGTATTTCGTTTTTATTATCCAGTCCTCCTCTCACCTTTCCATTTTAAGCTGAAAATTTTATTTCTGAATTTCTTTTTTGGTTTTTAATTTAAAAAACTGTACGGCAATCAATAGACTTCCCTTTATTCCTGTTTTATTTTTGGTTCCCTTTTAGTTTTTAAAAATGTAATTTTTAAATTTGCTCGTGTTTCTGACTCATTCGTTTATTTAATTTGCTCTTCTTTCATGCTCTGCCCCAAATATTTGGTTTAAACCATTATTCTTTTGACAAGTTTTACGGCTTACTTTACATTTGAAAATATTCCATGCTCTACAAAACCATGATGAATGTGTTTTCGAAAATATCATTTGTCAAAATCATCGGAATTGTCGGAAGAGTAATAGAAACTTCAAGTACTCTCTTGACAATTTACAATCCAATAGTCTTTTTGCATTAGTCTACTAAATGTGAAATACTACCTTGTCTGATTTTAATAACCTTTCCACTACGAATCCTTGAATGAAGGAAGAATTGACTATCTTCATGCTACCGACGAATAATTATGCGCCATATTTGTGCTCGTAATTTTTTTCTCAGAATATATCAGTATGTGTGACAATTAAATGACCGTCAAATGTCATTTTCATGGAACTGCTACTAATTTAACAAATAAGAAGACGTGTTGTATTTCTGAATCAGTAGGAAATTATGACTGATAATGGTGCTCATGCACTATGAAAAGCTTTTTTTTTTTAAAATTTCATAAGGTTTAATTCTACATTTTTCGAATCTGTCGATTCCGGCCTTTGTCACTTTTTGTCACTGTTCGTCTTTATAAGTAGCAACAAATAGCTGAAAATGAGAAGTGGAAGAAAGAAATGAAATGTTCATTGTTGGGAGGAAAAGAAAGAGTTTTTTCCCGAATTGGTCACTAAGTGCTTTTAAGTTTCCGGCAAGCGCAGTTTCCCACGAATTCGAAGTTTTGAGGAGTAAGCTCTCATCCAGTTGTTGTCTTCCTTATTTGCTAAACATGTAAACTCGTGATCGCGAGTTCTATAAATGAGATTCACAAATATATACAAAGATACTGTTATCAATCCTTATGCAGTTGATTTCTGCAAACTCTGACCTTAAATGGTACCATCTCCTTTCGTTATACAGTATATTTTCTGTTTAAAAAACTTTTCGGGACAAATTTCTTCATATCTGTGAAATTCATTTTGAAACACATGTTAGCATTACAGTCTTCTTTACCAATTACCTCTATTTAGACCAAAAACTTTATCTCTTCAACTATGCATACTCTCACAAATCTCATGACACATTGTCGATATTTCATTCAAGATTTGATTCAGTATCTAAATATTTTAATTGCTAATGTGGTGTATTGATGACATTGTTATTTTCTTCAATGGAAGAAAAAATCTGGTGAAGATCTGAGAGGGATAAAGGGATTGTTAGTATAGTATCTCACAAAGAAGTGACATATCCATTCATCCAACAATGGATAATTTCCCATTGGGCGATTATTGTTTGGATACCTTTTGTCCATTTTAATACTTTCAGTTTTTAGCTTTTATACGTTCATTGTAGTCATCCAAAATTACACTGTCACATATCAGCCCTGATAATCAACGTGGATATCAAGTGTAAGCATCCATTAAGCTGATACACAACCTTTTATATTAGATATATTTTTTGCAACTATAAAGTAAACGTAGACTTGCTGTATGCTAATTAAACTGGCAGTGATCTAGTCAAGGTCAATTTTCCGGTCACTGGATCTATTACGAAGGAGATGGAAATATTGCGATAAAATAAGACGATTAAAAATATCTGTCACGAACTTGGTGGGAAATAATCATCTTGTGAAATGGGAAAATCCATCAAAATTAGCCATTTTGAAATGAAATCACAGCACGCATCCCCGTTTTCTACCCTCCCTGTCGCCCGAACTCTTCCTTCCTGTCACATCCTCACTCTTTACCCCTTCCATTCTATCCTGACTACATCTGTTGTATGACAAATTTGTTATGAGTCACCGTAAAAAAAAACGAATCTATAATTAGTACGACGCAAAACGAACGCCATCATCGGAGGTCTCTGAAATTTCAAAAAGATTTTTTTTTTTAATCGATTTTTTCCTATTTGTTTATGGCAGTGATTATTTCATTTAAGTTTAGCATAAATAAGGTATACTTAACTGTTACTATTCAATGTGTGGGATACTGCGATAACGATAATACAAGGTAAATGTTTGCTCTCCCTCCCCCGCTACTTTATCAGTAATCAGAAGTTCCAGATGTAATGATTGTTATCGACATTTTCCTTCCTCTAACCTAATTTGATATAACCAGGTATCGGAATGGGCGATAGGCGACAGGTGCCACTTTTTCGTGCTACAGAAGATGACGGTAGTGGAGATCGTAAAATCGATAAAGGCAGTTTAGGTTTAATAAAAGTGCAAAAAATGGATAAGTTTTAAAAGAAAAAATTAAGCAAATGAAATGGTCAAATTTTTAGAGATTTAAAATTTTGCAGTAAAGAATGATCGACAATCAATCATTTAGAAACTGACTGTGCTACAACGCAGAGAATGTTAGCACAGATACTTTTTTGCAGTTCTAATTTTGACTAATGCTTTACAGCAGTTTGGAATTAATTAACGCGATTAATTGGTGAAGGTGTCTGAGAGCTTTTAACTCCTCACAATATGTTTGATCTTTGTCCTCAAAATTTTCTCTCAGAAAAGTAACTATCTTTACTGGAAGTCTTTTGTTCTGTTCGTTTTGTTTTAAATATTAATTGTGATGGATGAAACGATCAATAATTGAAATAATTCCGTAGAAAAGGTAATTCTCAGATGACTTTTGAAAAATTGTGCAACAGCAATTATAATAATTGCGTCATAATTTATTGGTCTTTTCATCGTTTTATATCTTCAATTGTCGATGGAATCATTTTTCCACCTGATCAACTGGTAGGACTGGGTAGGTAACAGGTGAAATAAGACTTTCCAGAACTTTATTCTGGTTGTTCCTGAACGTTTCACACCACTAAATTACTTTTCGAATTAACTACGAAACTACTTTCCACACATCCATCAACTCGTTGCCCTTTTTTTTGTTTATTTTGCGTGAGCATTCTAACCCTAAATTCATATTTCAACTTGATTGGACCAAAGTTTCTTTTGACGCTGAAAAGTCTATTATTTTTATCATTGCCGCTAATTATGCCTAACTGATTTTTCACTTTTCTAATTAAATTTTCTTTCTTCCAGTATGTCTCTGCTAGATTCTTTTTTGTTTGAACTATGGTAAATCACAATTAAGTATTCATCTTTTATTGTAGAAGTGCAACAAAGCCAGATGTGTTGAAACAGGGCAGGACATATCTCCGGAAGTTCTTAGCACACTGACCAAAACACTGACAATCTAGCCAACTGACGCATTAAGCTTAGCGGGGATACCTCAACGTCCACAGTGTATTTGTGTATTGTGACCAAAGGACGTCGTAATCACTTTGAAATCTTATCCAGAACTTCGTTTTTTTCCCCTCTCTCTTCTTTGCTTACAGTCTAGCAATCGTCATAATTAATTAATGAATTCGGCACGATGATCCATTACTCATCATCTTGCTCACTTTATAAAGATATTGCTGCAAAAGTGGTGTGGTTTTTGTTCTTGGTATTTTCTTTTTCATTACTGCCAAAAAAATAATTTCCCTTGTTTCGAATTCATTGTATTTTTTTACAGAGCTTTTATTGGGGATTACACCGATGAAAACATCTGGCATAATCAAAAAAAAAAGAACTGGAAGTGAAACTGTTACATTAACAGTTGGTTACTGTAAGAATCGCAATCAATAAAGCGAAAGATTCAAATTTTTTCGAATCTACACTTGAGATGGCTAGTCATCAATGCAATGTTACGGTGCCACAGTCAGAAAAAGTGTCTTCGGTGCCAACATCATCTTCTACAGAAATCAGCCTTTCCAGTTGCGCTTTGCCACAACAGTCTCGTGCTAACACTGCCAAAAAGCATTTCTTCTTCTCCACTAGCAATATTCATTTCTGGACTATCGGACGATCCACAAAAAAGACATCCGAAGAGGCATTAGCAAATTCCGCTGCTGATATTGTAAATCATGGTGATCAACTGCGTTATATTAAAGAGGAGCGGAATACATTGCGCAAGTTAGTATTTCATGATTTCTAAATTCTAAAATATATTTATTTACTTCATTCTTATTTGTTTCACTTAATCTCAAAAACTCCCTCTCCCTCCCTCTCCCTCTTTCTCTCTTTCTCTCCCTCGTCCTCTCTCTCTGATATAGCTGCTGATGTAACTTATGCACTTTTGTCATCACTAAACTATATTATTTTAAAATTTTTGTAAAAACCAAATTTTCTTGGTTTAGTAACAACGAAAGACTGAAGATTGAAACAAAAAACAGGAAATAAAAGCTATAGAAATTATAAAAAGCCATCCTAACTGCTGTACATAAAAGTGATTTGTTCATTTCATTTCTTCCTCAACAAATGCTTTCATTCAAAAATTAAATTTGAATACACATAGAGTTTCTTCGATCCCGTGAGATCATCTATGAGTGCGATATTGATCATCGGAATTCATATTAGAATTTAATATTAATGGAAGGAATGCAACGAATATGTATTCTGCTTAAATAAACAATCATTTTGTCCTCCATCGATTTTCTTTATCTACTGATAAATGCCACTACTTTTCAAGAATTGAAACAAGAAAATTTTCTTTTTTTAAAGAAAAAAGCGATAATTTGAAATGGAAACCGAGAATGTTTCATGGAAGAATAACTTATTATGGAATAATTTATGGAACAAGTTTTCCCTTGCAAAAGTAACATTATTCTTCAACATCTATCACAACACATAATTTCACAAAATGCTAACCAGTTTTAATTATTTCATTCTCCTCAAAACACTAATAATAATCAATGTTTTTTTCTCTCTCTCTCTCATCACTTAAAGTCTTTTAATTTGTAGTTTTAAGTTTCCGTTTTTTTTTAAATTTCCGTTTTCGTAATTTGACACTTACCATCTACTCCTCATTTCGCTCTAAAAAAAGAACTCCATTACTAAATTCTTAGATTGATCATAAAATTGGAGTATTCAAATCATTCATATCTATTAGTCGGGATATAACGCAGAAAGGCTCTATTCCTACATTTATTTATTTCATCATCTACCTGATCTTTTTCGCAGTTATAAATCTTGACGGATGTGGTAATTTCAGAAAAATGCAAATATGTCTTTTTCTTGATTAGAATTAGAGCATTAGGAATTAAGTGATTTTCGTGGTAATAAATGCGCATTTGTCCCGGTAATAAATGCGCATTTGTCCGACAGCGCTCATTTAATAAATCATTTGAAAGTTTAGAAAAAAAAGAAAGGTATTGTAGAATAAAGCATTTATTGCTAATAATTGTTAATTTGCGAGGAACTGGTGGATTTGATTTCCTGGAAAATTCTTGTTTGATATTACTGAAGTGATCTTCCTTTTAAATAAGATCGAATTCCAAGAAATATTAAATTATCATTATTTTATTTCTTTACAATCCATTTGACCCGTATTCCTGAAGTTGAAATTAACTTAATGCGATTCTTTTCCAATCTTTTTTCTACTGCACGATTTTAACAGTGGATGTTAAATGCAGTTTAACAACAGAATTATATATCTTAACCTTATTTTTCCTAGTGCCAACGCGGAAACAAGGAGAAAAGTTCGAAGGTTTGTACATGAATTAATCTGCTGACATTTGACCTTGTTTTTTGCTGCAATATGAATATATTATTTTTACAGGAGCCTCAACGATTTTTTAAAGGAATAAATATATTTGCTTCAAAATAGCCTTATACCTTGACTTTCACATTTCTTTCCAAGCTCTATCCGTCCGTATGAAGTTTGCCATGGATCCGTTTCCTCCGTTGACAAATTTTTTCATTTGATTTGTAAAGTAAAGTAATTTTTCTTTGACTTTTAAACCATCTTTAGCTGACTACAGTTACTTATTTGGATGTTATTCTGAAGACCTTGGCAGGAATGGAATAGTTATGAAAGTTATCTGAAGACATGTAGAATATTGGGAAGTCATTCATGCATTTCTTGAAATTAAACTTTTTCCATACTTTAAACGAAGCATTGGGAGATTTCAGGCTCATTGATATTCGTGGAATATTTAAAAGGTTATAGGAATCCCGAAGATTCCTTGGGACAGGTAAGGCCTGTATAACTGGAATAGTAATCTTGATATCTTGTTATCTCTACTAAAAATTCATCGTGAACAGAATTTTGATATGAAATCAACATTTTTTGCATTAATTTTTGAAAAAACGGCTGAGAAAAATAGAAAAACAAGTGAGGAAATTTGCCAGGAAACCAGTAAAACCGAAAACTAACCGGATTTTTATGGATTTTTCGTTAACGATGATGCCATTATGGTTAATTTGTACCCTAAATAGGTCCAGATCATTGCAGTCTGTACCATATTATCCAACAGTATTTGCATAATATCGATCATAGCTTTCGCTTCTATTACATTCATTACAAGTAACTATCAGAAGTGTTTCCAATTATGAACTTCATCGATGATATTTTCGAAGTAAAAACAGTTTGATTTATCCCTTCCATTCAGGTTTAATTAGTAGTTTCAAATTGAAACCTTTAACTCATCGGACGTTTTATGCTCAAATTACTCCATTCGGGTTTCTTCTAGCTGAATGATGTTGTTCATTCCCTCATTTTTACTATTTTATGCGATATTAAGCAATATCAATCAATATATGCAATAGTGATGTATCCGACAGATTGAAAACTGTTCCCATTTCATTTCACAATGCTTACTTTTAAAATTTATTGCATACCAATGTTCGGTTTATTGGGAAATGATTGGTTTGATGTTAATGCAAGACTGAAAAACATTCATTCCTTAAATGGAAGTATTGCGAAATATCTACTAGCTTGTTTTTTTAAGCTAACCACTTCCTAGACCGATGAGTCATCCATCCCTTTTACTTCTTTCATTCGGAGGAAATAAATTTTGAGAACTGTGGTTCAAAAATTTGGTATAAATGTAATGAAGGTATTATTAGAGCTGCGTAAGCAAAGGAAACAAAAGAGTGTCAAAAGGAGAGAGAAGAACAGAGAGAAAGGAAGAGAGAGAGTCTGGGATCGGCTCGAGATTGGCGGGCAATGCATTTTCAAATTGCTTTGAATTAAAAGAAATCTTTTAAGAGAAGTAAGTTACGTTTGGGCATATGGCGGGGAAAATTCCACGATTGTACAAAATTCCCTGTCGCTATGAATTAGCTAAGTTCCAAAGAATTGAATTAAAAAAAGAAAACTATTAGTGAAAAACAAAAGCGCATGTTTGATTCTAGGCGTCTATACGAGTGTTCATTACGCAATAGTGAGCGCAGTTTGCAGCTGATGCGAACGAGCTGTACAGATGAACAACGACAACAACAGCGAGAGCAACTGCAGGATATTCGAAGTGCCGCTATCCAGATACGGCATATGTCGGAACCAGAGTATGTTTTGACCATCCTACAATCAATCAGTACAATTGAGATTTGACATGTCAAATTCAGGAATCTCTGTCATGGCTGGTTAAGTTACCTCCCTGGTCCATCTAAAGTAACTTTAGGTCAACAGATGTGACTGTTCTTAGAATCTGTTGGAAACATATCTAATACAAGATAACGTTACTTTTAGCATGTTTGATATCTGTAAATAATCATTTCTGGTTATAAAGATGAAATTCTCTACAGGAATGCATTGCTTTCATCTCTTCCGTTAACTCATTTTGGATTAAAAGAAAGAAAAATTGTCAATATCAGGGAATGATAAGGAATTTTGAAATTTCATGAAATTTCGAGAAAACCAACTGACTTTCTGCAAGGTTATTCTGCACACCACTGAAATGGACGATAGAAAGAGAAATTTGCCAAAAAAAGGCTTTATTTTCGAGATTGATTGTCCCCACTTTTCACCCCTAAAGATCATCTGCCTATCGGATAATCAATTTCTGCTGTGTTCCATAGTTTTCCTTAAAATTTGATAATTTGTTGAATCTTCTTGCATATTTTTAAACGATATTCAAAATTCGTCATTGAGAAAACCAAGAAAAAAGGATTTTCAAATTTCACAGAGTGTGAATTTTTGGGAACAATTACCGTACTCTTCTAATTTCCTCTACTTGAAAAGACTGACTTAATGCGGTAAAAGCAAATTTTACTTCTTTGTATTCATTCTATTTCCCATTTTTGTTTCTTTGAATTTCTCATTTTGTTCATCAATTATTCCGAAGTAAAATTTGCATAATTTTTAATGGACCCATTTTTCTGTGCAAATATCTGTCCTTTTCCAGATAAATTCTCATTTTTATTATCATCTCCCTAATTTAGTATTGAATACGATAGGAACAGTTGCGTTTCTCGTCATATGTTTGATCCCTTCTGATCTGTTCTTATACAAATTATCTAACCAAATAAGTAGATGAAAGAGGAGAGGACAGTTTGATAATTAACAACACTTCTTAGAAATTCTTTTGAGTTGAGTTGATTGATTGCAATAGACTAAGTAGGTATGAAGACTTCGAAAAAATTCAAGAGGCCATTTGCTTCAAAAACCAATGTTTCTCATGGCTGAATGAATCTGTTAAACGTATTTATTTAAATATATTGGAACTGAATCATAACTGAAAGATTAATCCGTGTCATCATCATTAGGACAATTATGCAACTTTTTATTCATTTCGACAGGAATAATATGAGCCTATCATTTTTGCTTCAAAATAAATGATAATTTGCTTGTAAATTGTGTGAAGAAAAACAAGAAAGAAGTCACATTTGGATTTCTTAAAAAAAAAAAAAAAAAAACCTTACAAAATATGCATATTTCAGTGTAAATATGGTAAGCGATCGTACAGCGCAAGAGCGTTATTTACAGTTCCTGTCAAGAAGGAGTGATGGTTTTATGCATGAAACCAATGGTGATATCGATAAGGGTGATAAGACAGAACAGGACAACAGTAGTGAGTGGAAGGAATGGATGAGAAATCAACCAATCAGTGTCCTTAGATTAGATCGAACGGAACGACTAGTCTTAAAAATTGGAGGTTTGTCCCTTTTTCCAAAAACTTTTCGAAACTTGAATAGTATGTTCCCATCCAGTTTCCTTTATCTAACTCGATTTCGCCGAACTGTGCAATGTCTTCATTCGAGTAGTCGGCAGGAAGTCAACAGAATATCTTTAATTTCCTGATCCATTCTTAAAATGAGTTTAATCAATCATTTCTCCTGAATGCAATTTAAATTGCAGTTTGATCAATAATTTCTCGTTACTTTGAATTTCATCGGTCGGGAAGTATTTCTGTATTTCCCAAATTTCTATTCCATAACTTGCATGTCACGGTTGTTGTTCCTCTGTTATGACTGCTATAATTTACATTCGTAATCTAGAAATCCTCTTCGGAAATTTTTCTTTACAACTGTGAGATTTCCATAAATTTTGAACGGTAGAAGAAAAAATCGGTAGATGACTGTTATGTGAGCCGACGAATAATTTTCTTAACGTCTAGCCACACGTGTATTGATTGAAATGATTAAGGTGCTATATGCGATAACATTAAAATGAATTACTGGAATACAACGTGACAAATGTTATAGTGTACCAGAATACCAGAATGACTACTGTATCGTACAGCATTTAAATATCTTGCGATGTAATCGATATATCGCCGATTTCTGAACTTGAAATCGACCTCATTTCTTCTGCAAGATAGCCCTTTGTTCTCTTTGTAAATACATCAATATTAGCAGAGCCTAGGTAGCTGTCGAGGCTCAGTAATACATTGTCTCTCTCTGGCATAGCCGTTTGAAGCCATATGTAAAAAGATTGTAGTCTTCTCTTTCATCATTATCCTTTCCTTGGCTGGCAGATAGGAAACTTTTTTTTGGGAGGTAACTGTAATCATTCATTTGATAGAAATGACGATAGAAGTTACATATGAAATGAAGAAGTAACTGTCCACTCATAAATTCGATTCATTGGTATTATTGTAAAGTAGGCGCAATTGTAAATCTTATATTTCAATAATCTCGATGACTTTACCAAATAATTAAGTGCTGTCCTTTGAACGATTTGAATTTTTTCAAATATTCACACATTTCCTTCTAAAATGAACAAAATTATATTATACCTAATTAAATGAAGCACAATTTTCAATCTATGGGAAAACCTTGACTGGTATAATTCCTTAACTTCCAGTTATCTTTTCTCTCGTAATTTTAATGCAGTATTTCGAATTTTATATATATATATATATATATATATATATATATATATAATATATAGTAGTAAGTAGTAGTA